GTAAAGTTCAAAGATTCTCTCTGTATGATGTCCTAACTGAGAAGCATGTTTCTAAGACAAATACCCATGCTTATGTGCCAGCCAAGGATACCAGAGAGATTTGTGAATCTGGAAACACACATTGGGATCTGTCATTAGCTCATGTGTCTCATCTTCACTTTGGTTACTGGTATATCTAGTTGCTAATATGGATGCCATGTGGATCATTCCACATAACCTTTTTTCCTTAAAGCTTTCTGATGCCGGATGATGTTAGAACATCAAAATATGGAGCTGCTCAAGGAAACAATGATATTTGCAGCCCCCCCTCCCTCTCCCTCTCTCTATACATCCATGTGTGTGTATACATACACACACATGCATATATTTTTGTATATAAAAATAGACCACACATACAATTGTTGATTTTGTAGAATTTGTAACAACAACCAACTACTCTAGATTTTACTGTTTAATCTAACTAGCCAGTTTGTTCAATCCATTTAGAGAGTTAAAAACCACCCTAGGCAACTTTTGTTACTAATCTGTATGCATGTATGCGTAGTGACATTATGGAAGGAGTCTTGTTATTCCTGTATCTTTTTCTCACTGGATAACGTAAAGTAAGTTGGTTGTTCTACTTAGGACTGGCTAGAAAGAATGAGGTCTGAGAACCAATATAGAGGGCTAGTTATGTGACAGAAATTCTATAGACTCAGTGGCAGTGTTGTCATGGGACGTGCCGGCATATGGTTGTAGTAGCACATGGAGCTATCTACAAATACCCCCTCAGCTTGCTGACCTGTCTTTGTGCCTTTTTCATACCATCCTAACCCTTCAGAGCAGCCCAGTGATAGCCATCCTGCCTCTCCTTTTGGGATATGTGGTGATCTCATAACATCTGTTACTTAAAAATAGTTTGAAACAAATATCCGCTCCACTTTAAAAATGATGACCAGTAATGGATATGAAATCAGTGCTTCTTTCAAATTGGTCTTCTTGTAAATTGCATTTATGTTTACCTCTTTGTGTTTGACCATATTGTCAACTATCATCAACTATGATTTATGTTAGTCAATTTTTATGCCACTACCTTGAAAATCCCCTAACATTTAAAACTATTACTGTTCTTAATTATGCTTTGTTCTAACTTCTAGCAATTCAGGGACATGGCTTTGAGTACTCGCTCACTATCCCTGTCCCTGAAGCATGTAGTTCAACCATTAGGTGTGTAATTGAAAAATGTTAGAAGAGCCATCATTTTATGATTGTTGAACATGCCTTACTTTTGATACACAATTTTGTTATTTTGGCCTTTTATTCTTTTAGAAACATTTGCTTCTAAAACAGGAGTGGGCTTAAAATGTTAGCAATGGGTTGTCTGCTGGGTTGCTGAGTGGCCATGATGGGCGTGGCCTAGTTGGCCTCAGGCACCATGGTGGGGGACATTTTTGCCCTCCCAGGACTCCAGAGGCTTTCCTCAAGTCTCTGGGAGGGCAAAACGGCCTCCCCGGGCTCCAGAGGCTCTCAGAAAATGTTGCAATGTTACATGGCGAGTTTAATACGTGTGTACTCGTTGTTCCTTCCTTCCTCCCAGAACTGGTTTTACTGTGTTTTTATTAACCTGGGATTATATGCTTTGTCTTGGAGATTTTCTACATCTCATTTATTGATGCTCACCCAAATTGAATTGTGCAAATGGTGCTTCATCATCACAGCTTGTTCTGATGGTCTTCAAATAGAGAATTAGCCTCTGGTTACATTACTAAAATCACTTACCTAAGCTGCTTAAATCTCTTGTCACAGAACCATTTTAAAGTTTCTTTGCATACATATTCAAGCAGACCAAATACAAGTGTCATTCCTACAGAAAAGTAAAGTAAAAAGTGAAATGGTTCTTTTTAAATTCTTGTTTTGGTTTTATGGTTTGAGATTTCATTACTACTGTGAACCACCCAGAGTTATGTTTTAAGATGGGTGGCCAGATGGATCTTTGAAATAAATAAGGAGAGAATTAAACCAAACAGTATTGCACCTGTTGCCATAATGCATGTGGGTGGGTGGGTGGGTGGGTGTTAATCAATTATATCATCTGCTTTATTTTAATTGAGGACAGAACGTTAATGTTGCTAGCAGTGGATCATTGCGATTAATATTTCATTCATCTGATGGCTTAGAAATACCAGCTAGGCAGGTAAGCAAATGAGAAACTTGAATCTTTTCAGCCATCTCCTGCTGCAGCAAAGGTGTTTATTCCAATGACAAGCAATCAAGAACATCTCCATGGCCTTTTTGTAATTGTGGCATTAACAGAAGATCAAATAGCACATAATGGAGGCATAAAACATGCTTGAAAAGTGGCGAGGGAATATTTATGGTAGTCTGACCTAAGAGTTGGCTGCTCCTTCACAACAGGTGCATGATTTTAGTCTCATTTTGGACAACTAGCATTTTCAGCCTTCAGTGCCTCTCCTTACTGCATGCCTGTGCAAATATTCGCAGAGAAGGGTCAGTTAGTAGTGGGTAGAGGCACAAAATAGCTAGAGCAGTGACTCTGTTCAGCATGGACCACCTAATTTTACTTTGCATTGCTGATTACATTAAATCTGCACTCTGTGAACCAGATACAATTTAACAGGAGAAGAAAAAAAGCCTACATCATTAGGTGAAAATCACCCTTTTCATTTGGGCAATGTCTTTTCTGTCTCTTTCAAACTGCTTTAGTGGGTTCTCCCAACTCTCCACAGAAAATTTCAGTTGAGGCAATAGGCTCCAATTCTTAAGAGCTGGCATTTCAGTAACAACACACACATTTCTTTGTTATTGAAATAAGCATATTTATGTTGTGATTTTCTCCTTCACAGTGTGAAGTGGCTCCCCCACCTCCAAAATAGGACTTGATATATGGCCAGAATTTGTTCCATTCCTGAACCTACATGGTTCCTTAAATAAATTCAGAATGTTTCTTTTCTAAAGTTTTTGTTGACAATTATTTGTTGTATGCTGTGACACCCACCCACCCACCCACATATGTTAATCAGGAGTAATAGCATAACCATGTGTCTTAATGGTTAGGACAGTCTTTTCTTTCAAGAAGCATAGTTTAAGTTAAAGTTCCCAGTCCAGTGAAAACAATCATAAAAAAAGAAAATAAGGATTTCAGAATCCCCCATCAATAATTGAATGGATAGCAGGTTGAGAATACACACATCACCTATTCACAGCTGCAGAAGAAATAACAGCAAGATAAAATGACTTAAGTCCATTTAAGATATAGTCATTTTATATTTGTAAAAGTTACATTCATTTTCTCTTAACTACAATTTATAAATTCCATGGTGATAAATAATAGAAGCTGTATCTGATACACTCCCATTTCCTATTTTTAAAATGATCCCTTGTGCTTGTCTGAAAGGAAAGCAAAAATAGATTTTACATGGATTTAGTTTATAGGCTTATTTTAGCTGCTTTGACTTCTGTCAAATTTCTGCAATAAGCTGTTTTGAAATTTACATCAGTTTCATTAACTGCACACAGAAGTCATGCAGTAGTATAAATGCTTGAGGTTCTGTAAATTTCTAATTAGCCTGACTCTGGATGGATAATTGTTTCAAAAATCCTCCCCCACCCCCACTCCAGAAAGCTGTCATGAAAACAGCATCCATCAATTGTCAGCCTGATTTAATCCAGTATTAATTATTCAGAGGGCTGCCAGGTTTTCCGAGATCTCAAGCAGGATTCTTTGATATATCTTGTTAGAGAAGTGGGTTTATTTCAGAGTAAGCATTCCTTGATATCAGCATGATTGACATGTTGGGCATGTGTTGCTACTAGTAGTTTTTTGATCCAGGGAAATGGATGAAGAAAAGATGCATGGAAAGTCATTATAAAGTTGAAAGGAGACATAGAAATGGGAGGAAAACAATATTGATTTAACTCTATTTCCCTGGACAAATTTTTAAAAAAGAGAAAGAGGCAGATCTTCAGAAGTGAATGTTGAAAAACACTGGTTATTATACCACATCTATGAAAGAATAGGTATATGCTTTTTCTCCTCACAACTGCTGCTGCTTTTTTATGTAATTAATTAATTAATATAGCTGCCCATCTCACATGAAAATGAGTCGGGGCAGCATAGAACACTTAATTAAAAACAATAAATACATAAAATCAATCACAATTTAAAATAACTATTGAAAAGGCACATAGTACCAGAGAGTTCTGGAAGTTTAACAGAGCATACAAACTCCTCAGTGAAAAAAGGTGAAGATATATTGCTGGTCCCAGGGCTTTGCTTGGTGGATTTGTTTCTTCTGGTTATAATCCCTCTTCTCCCATTTTGGAAATTCTTGGCTCTCATTGTAAAAAATAACTCAATCTCATGCTGTGCATCATATTATGATGTACTTTATAAGTTAAGCAGTTAGGTATTCATTCATTCTTTGGACTAAAATACAGTAGATGTGACATACCAGACACAAATATTTGTTGATGTTTTTTTGTTTGTTGTAGCTGTTGTAACAGGATGACATCAGATGTAGTTGGAAAACAGCTCTCTCATCTCAAAGTCATCTTTCCCCTTTCCTGTTTTCAGTGGAAAAAGATAGCTTTCCTTGAGAGAAAGTGAGGAGTTGAACAGTTTGTCTGATATTCTCAGATCAGTGTTTTCACTGATAGCAGATTTGTAACAGATAAAATGATGCTGATAGTTTAAGAGCTTTTCATTTATGCTGTTTTGAAAAATAGTAACTTAAAATAGACAAATGTAGTCTTTTTCTTTTTCAGCATGATAACAGACAGATTCTACAAAAAGCCGTTCATGTAAATTGAGACACTGCTTGTTAATGCTTTGTAGTTATAGCAAAGCAAATAAAAGAAACCATAAGCAACTAATGCAAACTTTCCTTTTATTAGTTTACAGTACAGCCTTTGTCTTTGGATCTGAAGATCAGTGGGCAAATACTGCTTTTTTAACTGCTTGATGAGAACCAAACATATAAATCACCCTTTTGCCATTCCAGGTCTTTCGGGCATTTCCAAGCAAGAGAATATGATGTTGCCTTGGGGACATCAGGAGGAAGATCAGCTGCAAGTGACAATTTGAGACAAGGGCTGTGTTTGACCAGGCTTTCTGTCACCAAGGTATTCACCGAGCAGTATGCACAACATCGTTGAGCATCTTGCAAATGTTCTCAGATCACATGTTCATTCCTGAATGGTGCTGTAGTCTTTGCTGGGTTCCTTGTATGAGATGCACTGAAGTCTGACAGATGGATGAATTGAGAGCATGTGGAAAAGCTTAAATGATATATAGTTTCACAGATATATGAAATCAATGCAAAATATGTGCCTTGAAATACATGTCTGCATTTGGTATACATGCTGATTGCTACTTGCTTTACTATAGAACAGATTTTCTCATTATAAATTGGCTCCCCCACTAAAATGGTGAAGAGATCATGGAAGTCCCCACCCACCCATTTGCTACCAATACCAATATAAGAAGAGGGGAATTCTGTGAGAATTCTAATAGTTTCGTGAATCATACCTTAATTTCTGGTTTAAAATTAGGAGACAGAAAACACTACAGCTTTACTGTAAATTTGCTACTCAGAAGGTAGTTGACAGAAGAAGTTTCCCTCTTCTAGCTATAGGGATCATTTAAGGCTTTTTCCTACCCATGAAAGAAATCTTTGTTTCATCTTATATTTACCCTTTAAAGAAAACAGAGCCCTTTCATCAGATCCATCTTGGAAACTGAGAATAATAGAGAGAGAAGAGGACCAGTGATTCTCCAACATTCTAAAGGACTTCGGTAGCTATGAACCCATTGATGTAGAAGACTGTATTTGCGAAAGCAACATGATTTAGCTGGAAGAATGATAAAGGAGACTGGGGAAGGAACATCAAAAGAATAGCCCAACCAGTTCTCCAAAAGCAGTGGAACACGGGAAATGAAGAGTCACATAATATGGCAGGAGAGAAAGCCACACCCACTTCGATGAACTAGACAAGTGTTGCAACCCAATGGCTGCCTGAAAGAATTCCACCCCCGCCCCCCCCACATGTCAGCAAGAAAGAAGTCCAGTAGAGAATACTTGATTGACCAGCTAGAAATCTGAACCCTTGTATAGGGTAGATCTCCAGTAACCAGCTTGAAGATGGAGGCTAGAAAAAGTGAGGTACCAATTCTCATTCTCACAGAGAAAGCAAATCCATCAATCTCTCTTTATTCCATCAACAGGGTGGCAGAAGGAGAGCCAGATGATACTGGATCTGGGGATATGTTAAAACTGTGAGAGAGGGGCAATTTAGTTTTTTTTATACCCAGTATAGCAACCCAGGTGCTAGACAGAAAGGATAAGATTTGCTTGGCAACTGACTAGCCATGCAAGGCATCTTACCTGCCCTCCAGTAATGCTTTTTTTAAAAAGCAGAATTATTCACAACAAGGAAGGAAGGAAGGAAGGAAGGAAGGAAGGAGGGAGGGAGGGAGGGAGGAAGGAGGGGGGGGAGGGAGGGAGGGAGGAAGGAAGGAAGGAAGGAAGATAAAGCCGCACATTTTAAATTCAGATACTCCAGGTCATGAGGAACATCCCTAACTTATTTTGAAAGTGGTTCTGAAATATAAGGAAGATGTTAACAGATTCCTGTGACTTAAGGAGAGTCATGAAATGTCTATTCTGGGCCACTCCATTATAAATCACACTTCCAACTAGTAAATTGGAGCAAATGATAATAACACAGGATTTGAAAGCCATATCAGACCAGGCCAAATGGGTGAAAAATAAGCATTCTCTTGCATTGCCAACACAGCCACAATATATGCTTTACATGGATACCAGGATGGTTTATTATATCTCCATTCATGAGAACACTTAAAAGTGTTTTGTAAAATTATATGATCTGATGCTTAAGATATTCTCTGTGCAGCATCTGTAAAAATGCCCATGCCTTATCTGATTATCTGGTTGTTTTTTTGCTCTCATCCTAGGTCATTCTGGGTCTATTACTCCTTTCATTATCTAAGGAGTAGTAGTATTGAACTAATATAGAAATTTAAGAATAGGAAATTGAGGCAGGAAAGCTGCAGGATTTTGACACTCACTCATTTATTTATTTATTTACAGTTGAACCATTTGGTAACAGAACAATTGATCAGTGTTGGAGTTCCAGCAGTGGGGATTTCGGTAAGGGGGTTATAATTTTTGTTTGCCTTTTTTTGGAAGGAGGTAGATTTTGATAATTTGCCTAGGTTAGATAATGTTAATTTCATTACTGTTCGAGTATGAAGAGATATGATGATGGGATCATCAAGAGAATCTGCCTTGAAAGTATTTTTTGGAATTTTTTCTTTAGCTTGTAAAAACCTGAATTTTCTGCACTAAATAAATTGCTGAAGTTTATTGCTTCATATAATATATTAATCTATTATGGTTTGTGTTGTTTTTGTTGCTGCCTTTGAGTCAGTGTTGACTCCTGGTGACTACCTGGCAAATAGACAAGTCTGTGCAGTTTTCTTGGCAAGATTTCAAAAGTAGTTTGCCATTGCTTCCTTCTTAGAGCTGAGACAAAATGACTGGCCAAAGTCACCCAGGTGGTTTTGTTTGTAAGGCAGAATTAGAACTCAGTTTCCTGGTTTCTAGGTTGGTTTTTTTTAACCATTTCACCAAACTGGTTCTTGTTGACAATTTCTTACCTGCATTTTAATTTGAGAAACAAATTTAAATATTTTTGTATAATACCAACACATCTAATAATTGCCTTTCAGGTTGCTACTGTAATTGGCAAATTTACAGTTTAAGAAATAATGCTACTGTATATCCATGTATATCAAGGTATATCAAGGTCATTTCCTGAATATAAAACATAACCAGAACCAAAATGCCTTAATTTTCAGATCATTCTTATTTCAGAAATAGTAATTCCTTCTGATTAATAACAGTAACAGAATTATTTGTTTGCTATTTCTCTCCAGCCTTTTGGAACCTGGCAAACAACAAACAAGAATGTCATTAAAGCTGGTATTGATACCGTGAAGAATGTTTTAGATGCAGGTTATGTTCCTGTATTACATGGGGATTGTACCCTGGACTTGGAACAACACTGTTGTATTTTATCTGGAGATACAGTTATTGAGGTGAGATATGGGGACTTGACTTAGTTCAACAGGATATTTACAAGAAATTTGAACTCTTTAAATTCATATGCTGCAAATATATCTGATTATTTCAGACTGTTTTTCCCCTTTTTAATGAATATTACTAAGATGAAGTTGTTTGCAGCCAATTGAAGTTACTTGAAATAGAGTTTGATTAAAAAATAGAAATACAGATATGGTCATGTTCTTAATTGGGTAAAATATATACCAGTTTAAGAAGTAGCCTAAAGAAATGCAGAGCTGTGTACAAATTAAGACAAACCCTTAATGCCATCAACCATGTGCAGATAACAGCAATCCCTTTGGGTTGTGTTTGAAAAAGGTAAGTTTTCTTGCATGTAACATCTGGATGACAAAATGTATAATAATTTTAAGTGAAAAACATCACAATCTCAAATAGTGTAGTCTTGGTACAATGAAATCATCCTATGGTTCTGAAGCAGACAAGTCTCCCTCAAATTATTCCTCACATTTTCAGGCATTGGGACTTTCAGGGCCTTCTTTGGCACCTCATGTTAATAGATACTAGTTTGTGAAAGATCATTCTAAGAAGAGTTAGAGAGCTGATGCTAGTCAGTCACAAGAGAATTTGAAAATTAGCAGATCAATGATTTGACTTAGGATAAAGCAGTTTTTGTTTATTTTTTTTCTATTACAGGTTTTAGCTAAGACATTCTCTCCTAGGCGAGTTGTGTTTCTCACAGATGTGAATGGAATTTACAGTTGTCCACCTGATACCCCAGGTACAGAACAAGTAAGCTGAAGTTGTCAGTACTAGAGGAAAAATAGATAATATCAAAATTGGCATGAAAATTTTTGAAGTACTTATATGATGAGATATAACGTGGGGTTTTCTCATGCTTTATCTAAGAGATAGCTTTGAAAAGCATTGTAAGATTACATTATCTTACTATTTTGAAAAAAATAAAAAATAAAACTAAAACTACGTATATAACAGGTCATATTTCAGCTGCTGCCATCTATATAGGCATAAATTATAAAAATTGCAGATTCAGGAGTAGTAAACAAAATGCATAGGTACTCCTTGTAGACCAAGATTTGGTAGAGAGATGAACTAGGGATGCATAGCTATTCAGATCCAGAATGGAAAACTTCAAATTTGGCATGGGAGAGTTTACTGTAGTGTTCAATGCATTTGATTTTGGTCAAAAGGCTGAGAAGAGATTTATGGCCAAAGGCCAAAATCAATAAAGTAAATATATAATTAACTGTCAACAGTTCCTTTAAAAAAACACCTATTTTTCTCTTGGGCTTGCGCTGTAGTCATATAAAATGCATCCCTTAGTTAAGGAGGTAGTGACAGATAGTGATAGGAGCACAGTGGCTCCTGTGGTTAGATAGTGGGTTGAAGGTTAGCAAGCCCGCGTTCAAGAGTCAAGTGCTGCTCCATGGGGAGTGAGCTCCTGTCATTCACTCCTGTTTCTTGAAGGGGTCATGAAAGGAGCCCCCATGGGTGTTCCCTGGGCAATTGTTTATGTCACCGGCTAATCCTTTAACCCGTGCCTCCAACACAAAGAATACACAGAAACAGCACAGCAAAACATGATTGCACTATTTTGTTACGTTTAACACAGTCTAAAGCATTATGCCAACCTTGTTTCTCTTCGAAGTCTATCAGTGGAAATTATTTCTTGTAAACGTTCAAAATTAAATTAGTTGTTTCCATGCCACGGTGCTCTTATATTTTAAGATTAGCTTTTGTATGTTGTTATCCAAATCCTCTGTTTGTTTTGGAACAGGTGCTAGGCTGGTGGATTCCATTGTTATTGGTCCTGAAAGAACGATGGAGCCATCTGTGCTCACATCTGCACTACCACATGACTCTACTGGAGGAGTGTCCTTGAAACTACAAACTGCCATAAATATAGTTTCTTCGAGTCATGGAACCATTCCTGTTCTGATCTGCAAACTGGACAGTGAAGCAGCTATAAAGGCTTGCTTGACTGGGGAATTGAAAGAAGGCGAAGGCACAAAGCTTTCCTTTGTGGATACGTGAAGTCTTTTGTAAAGGAATCTTGAATCATGTGCAGAAGAATTTCTGGGACAATAATATTCATAAATTCTTGACTGACTTTTTGTTTCAATCATATGTGTGTGTATTCGTTTTCTGTTATTTTATGAACCTCACAAATTCAAATCATAAGTTTTTAACGCCTTGCAAAACAATAACATTTTGAATATCAGCATACAATATATTCACGTCACATTGATAGCCCCTTGGTGCTATAAACTCATCCTCAGTGCCCCCGACCCAGGAGTGGGATTCAAATTTCTTAACAACTGCTTCTGTGAGCGTGGCCTAATTTGTGGGTGTGGCTTGGTGGTCATGTGACTGGGTGGGCGTGGCTTGCCAACTGGGCATGGCTTGGTGGTCATATGACTGGATGGGCATGGTCTGGTGGTCATCTGACTGGGTGGGTGTGGCCAGGTGGCCATGTGACTGGCAAACCAAATATAAGTGGTTCTCACTTAATGGCCAGTTGCTTAGTAAGTGTTCTAATTTATGACTGACCTCCCCAGAGCTATTTGACCTGTTTTTGGAGTTTTGACAGCCATGTACGCGTGTGCACACACACACACAGATACATACACATACTCCGTTCTAACCCTGCTGGAGCAGGTGGTTGGACTAGATATCTCATTAACTTTCTCCTACCTCCCTTTCTTTTTTCTTCCTTTCCTCCTTTCTTTCTTCCTTCCTTCCTCCCTTTCTTTCTTTTTCTTTCTCTCTCCCTCCCTTCCTCCCTCCATATCCCATTCACTTTCTCCTCCCTCTTTCTTTCTTTCTTTCTTTCTTTCTTTCTTTCTTTCTTTCTTTTTCTTTCTTTCTCATTCTCTCTCTTTTTTCTCTTTCTCTATCTCTTCTGCCCCTCTTTCTTTCTGTCCCTTCCTTCCATTCCCCCCCACTTTCTTTGTGTATCCCTTTTCTTCCTTTCTCCCCTTTTCTTTCTTTACTTTCTTGTCTGTTCCTTCTCTCTTTTCATCTCTCTTTCCCCCTCTTTCACTTTCTTTTTTCTCTTTCCTTCTCTCTCTTTCCCTCTCTCTCTTTCCCTCTCTCTTTCTCTCTTTCTCTCGTTCCCTCTCTCTCTTTCCCTCTGTCTCTATCCCTTCCTTAACCTATTTACCTATTTTCTATCCAGGCAGGCGTGGCCTGCCAAAGGCCTGGGCTAATCCTGCATCACCCCGTTTCCCATTTCAGAGGCCCCGGCCCTTAATCTCCCCATTTCCTCCTGATGACCACCTCTTTCGTTGCCCCGTGATTTTACCTTGCTCCCGCAGCTGGCTGCCAGGGAAGGCAAGCCAGGGCTGAGCCATTGTTGTCACTGGACTCCCCACCAGCCCACATTGCCTTTGTCACAAATGCCTGCAGCCGCCGTGTATTTTTTTTCGGTGCAGCTGGAGTGCAGCCACACCGAAAAAAAACCACATGGCGTCTGGAGGTTTTTTGCAGCAAAAATTACCAACCTCTGGCTTTGCTCTGCTTCTCCAATGTGCTGCTGCAGCCACATTCTAGGCACAGGCCCAGCAGGTCCACTCCATTAAGCCTGCTGCACCAGAGGGGCTTGCCCAAGCAAGTCCGAGCGGAATGGTACAGCAGTCAATGGGGTGAGCCTGCATGGCCAGTGCCTAGAACATGGCAGTGGTGGCACATTGGAGAAGCAGAGGAAAGCCAGAGGTTGATAGTTTTCACTGCAAAAAAACTCAAGAAGAGTGTTTTTTTCACTGCGGCTGGACTCCAGCTGCACCAACCCCCCCCCCCAAAATGGCATCTGGATGCTTTTACCAACCTCTGGCTTTGCTTGCTCTGCTTCTCCAATGCGCTGCTGTGGCCGTCAGCGATTGTTGCACATGCGTGCAATATCGCACATGCGCAATAAGGACTGACTGGGAAGGGAACGGAGGAGTGGGTGAAGAGGAGCAGGGCTAGCCAGGGGCCCATTTACTGGTTCTCCAAACTACCGGGAATGGTAATGAACTGGTAGAATCCCACCTCTGAATTGCACCCTGCAAGGGGCCCACCTCCAGTGCCCCCCTACTGCCTCTTAGCGCCCCCTGCCGGCTCCCTTTCCTCTTAGCATCCCCCTAAGGCATCCCACCATTCCCAGGGGGTGGTAAGCCCACTTTGGGAAACACTGGTTTAAGGGTAAAGGAGTAGGGGTTTGAGGATATAACAACAAAGTCAGGTAGGGCATTCCAGGCATTGACCATTCTATTGCTGAAGTCATATTTTCTGCAATCAAGTTTGGAGTGGTTTACATTGAGTTTGTATCTGTTGTGTGCTCTTGTATTGTTGCAATTGAAGCTGAAGTAGCCATTGATTGGTAGGACATTGTAGTAGATAATTTTGTGTACTACCCTTAAATCCAACTGTAGGCGGCATAGTACTAAGTTGTCCAAGCCCAAAATTTCAAGCCTGGTGATGTAGGGTATTCTGTTGCGAGCAGAGGAGTTAGTATTCTTCTCATGAAATATTTCTGGATTCGCTCAATTGTATTAATGTCTGATATACAGTGCGGATTTCAGACAGATGAGCTGTATTCGAGTATTGGTCTAGCAAAGAACCTAGTTTGTATGCCCTAGTTAGCAATTCAATATTTCCGGAGGAGAAGCTTCATAAGATTAGATTTACATCTCTTAATGCCTTTTTGGCAATGCTGTTGCAGTGAGCTCTGGAGCTTAGGTGTGTACTCCAAGGTCCCTGACAGAGTGAGAGTCGTCAATGAGGTCATATCTACCTAGCTTGTATTTGGTGTACTGATTTTTTTTTTTTACCAATGTGTAGGACAGATCATTTGTTGGTTGAGATTTGGAGTTGCCAATTGTTTGACCATTCAGACACATAATCAAGGTCGCTTTGAAGGACGGTAGCATAGTTTTAAATCATCAGCAAAGAAGACACAGTTGCTTTTAAGGTCATTTAAAGTTGCAAAGGTCATTTATGTAGAGTATAAAGAGTGTGGGTTCTAGAACGCTGCCTTGGGGGACACTGCTGTTAACTGGTGCAGGGTTTGATAAGGTGCTCCCTATTTTTACTATTAGTTGCCTGTTTGACAGGAACACAGTAATCCACTTATGAAGGGATCCAGAAATGCTGTAAGAGTTTAGTTATAACAGTAGGTTGTGTACCACTGAACCAAAGGCTTTGCAGAAGTCTATGTAAATTGCATCTATTGCTTTACCCTGGTTGAATAGAGTATCCATATGTTTTTACAGTGTAGGGGTTGCAGATTGCAGGACAATTTTTTCCTGAAACCAAATTGTTTTTTGAAGAGTAGGTTGTTTGACTCTAGGTGGAGGGTAATGGATTAGTTAATGATTGATTCCATGATTTTGCACGTGATGCAACACAGTGAGATTTGTCTGTAGTTTTCAGCTAGGCTGGGGTCACCTTTTTTGAAGATAGGGATGACCGTTGCTAAGGATCATAGGTTTAGTAAGAAGCTGGTTCTGAATGATATCTCATATATTTTGCTTAGGAGTTCTGCTATGGCATTGGAGAGCTTTTTAAAGAAATATGCACATCATCTATCGGGGCCAATAGATAGGGATGGTTTTAGGTTACATAGTGCCTTTTCTATGTTATCTTCTAAAAAGTCAATATGTAGTAGGTCATTACAGTTAGTTGTGGTATGATTAGGGAATGTGGGGCATGAGCTATTTACAAAGACTGAACTGAAGAATGTGTTGAAAAAGTTGAGTGAGGGAAGGGAAACCTAATAATAGATTTTTCCATATTGACTTCCATTCATTTTTTAAAGATTTGTCTTTCAAACCTGTTTCTTGTGACTTCTTTGAATTTTTGTAACTCTAATTTCTCATGCTTTAAACATTCTTTTTCATTTTTGTTGAAACACCCATCTTGCTCCATAACTAACTAGATTAGTTTTAAGTCTTCATCTTTAATGCAAGTACTATTGCAACTAATTTCACAGCGCATCCAGTCCCTTGTTAACACTATGCTATTTGTTTAGTACCAGCATCATTCTTTCAAAGGCTGTGATATACCCACAAGAGGGAATCAGTAAATGTGTAGGAATGTGCTATTTAAATTTTTGAAATTGTTCTTGAATTCACACACAATGTTTCATTTGAAGCCAAGTATCAATATTTTTATGCTGCTCCTTTACTGGTTTCCATCTGGGGGAAAGATTGCCAATACTGCGTTTCTACAATTTCAGCACATTTTTGATTTGGACAGCCTATCAAAATATAGAATACATTATTTATATTTATAATAGTATAATTGCAAGTATATTTTTGCTTATTAAGTAAAGTTGAATTTATCATAGAAATAAAGAATTTATCACAGAAATACAAACTAAACTCCTTAAGAATGAAAAATGAACAGGGCAAGGCAAAATTATCCAGACTATTCATTGAAATGTTTATGCTTAACAAGATTCTATAACTATCAGTAACGCTACCTACATCGGGTTGAAACTCAATTTCATTGAGGGCTGCATCAGGGTTATGTTTGACCTTGGGGGGCTAGTATGTGTATATGTGTGGCCAGGGGGGCATGGCCATCTGATGTCAGTCCACCCAGGCTCTGTTTTCAGCCGTGACAGCCTCCTGCAGCCTTCCACCAGTAAAAATGGAGCTTGGGTGGGCCTCATGCAGCCCCCACCAAACTCCGTTTTTTGCTGGCAGAGGCACCATGGGCCGGTTCGCTGTTTGCAGGGCAGGGCAGATCTAAGCACCCCGCGGGCTCAATCTGGCCAGCGGGCCTTGAGTTTGACACTCCTGGCTTACATAGATGCAGTTGTCAGAAATAAAGCTCAACTAGAGGATATCTTCCAAATTAACCTTGATTTTATATATGCATTCAAGGAAAGCTATTTTCCATTATCTCTTTCTGGGAAGCTTTTCACCAATACCTCAGGACATTCTAAATCTCTTGAGTCCCATTAGGATCTCTTATTCAAACATTCAACCTGGCTTGCTGAGGAAATAAGTCAAGCGTGGTCACATGCTGTCACCTTCTCAAACAAATATGGAAATTTCTGACATAATTCTAAATTATAATTCTAACTTATAATTCTAATAAGTCATAGGAAAACACCTGGAAGTTTTTGTCATGTTACTAAACTGTGAGTATTAATATTCATTTGTGTACTGTATGATTAAAAGTAGGAATACAGATCCTGGTGAACGTCAACAGCAGATTTTTAGGACAGTACTCAGTGCAGCTCATGTTGCATGTTCAAAACTGTGCCTTGAAATCAATACACT